TTGAATCATTTCAACATAGTTTATATCAGTCACACACCAAATTAAAGTTCATATTACCAGTACAGGCGAGTTGAAACCAATAGAATCTTTGCTGAATGGCACTTTGACACAGTCGAAGAAGAACACATCACTATATTGTAGCGCACAAAATCTACAAAGGTTTTGGTGTGCAACTGTCCTTCGTTAAACATTAATGGCCAGCAGGTTCCCTTGAAAGATAATTATTTTGCATTAGAGATTATTATAAAGAGTGCACTGTACCTTTTGTGGGTTTATGAGAAAGTATCAAACAACTTATAGAACAAACCCAATCTAATTTTTTGTTGGTGACATGTCAGAGTAAATATTTGAGATTTGGGTGGAAAGTCTGGCTAAACTGTCAACAAGTAACACTTTTTAGGGCAAGTCGAGTGGTTTAGGGCATAGTATGATTTAAACAAGGCACATTGGCAGAGAGACCGTTTAAAACCAATTAAGCAGAGGAGTAAACTTTTCTGGGATTAACATTTTTAGTCACAGTAAATAACAGGGATGGATCCAGCATGGTCTGGTAGGGGGGGGGGGGTGCTCCGCCAAAACAAATTTCGGAAAGCAACAACCTCCCCCCCCCATCGACAACTTTTTAGGAAAAAAAATTTTCCGGACGAGTACGTTGCAATTGCTTTCCAGTGACTTTACAACTTGCTTAACCACTGCAAAGTCTAGCTACAGTATTTGAATTGTAATTGTTGTTCACAGTTCGCTTATCATCATGTTATTACTCAAATTACTGAATCTCATTTTGTCTCTGATAATTTTTTGCTTTATCATGAAAAATAGCACCCCTCCCGGCCAGGGCTAGGGGGTGTGTGCACCCCCCTGCACCCCCCAGTAAATCCATCCCTGGTAAATAATAAACATAGTACATGTATATTTGGGCACTTTAAGTTTAATTCACTGTGAAGTTCTTTTGCATCATTTCAAATCAATATATTATAAAAAGCATCACTTTATACACAGTTTATATCTTAATTGTGTAAACATTCTCTGGTTAAAAGATTTATTTATTACAAGCTTTCGACTGCCAGTCTGCAGTCTTTGACAGGTCTCCGTCTGCAGACTGGCAGTCTAACGCTTGTAATAAATAAATCTTTTTAACCAGAGAATCCTGGTTTCGCTTCCAACATTTTTAAAGTTTATATCTTATTTTCTATATCCTACATATATTTTATAATCACTCTATATCCAGTATTTGGCCGGATAATCTGGTAGGATATTTTCCATCCGTTCGGCATATATGGTATTCGGCTGGATAGTAAAATGTTCTATCAGGTGCATTCCTAATGCATAATAATTTCATTCTCATGGTAGCGGCAGGGAAATAATTAACACACAACTCTAAAGTTGCAATGACATACAATATGAAGTAACTGAAGCACATTTAAATTCAACCAGTTCTAACTTGCTGCACATGTGTCTCAGGGTCTGTTATACAATGCCAGCTTTTCCCTTTCAGAACATGCCCTCCTGTGCCAATTTGTCTACAGTCCAAGTAAAATTTGTAGATAATCCTAACTAATTACCCAAAAACCTCATTAGCCTAAGTCAATATTTTTATTAAAGTTATACACTTGTCTTTTTTAAACTTTTTTTCAGTCACAATGAGGGCTACCTTTAGGAAATACCTGGTTGCCAGATAAAACAATTGGTCACAATTGTCGTTCACCTGGCATTTGGTCATTTCTAGGGCTGCACCAGATACTAGACATTTTTGACATCCAGCCAGATTTCAGCTATGTCGGATAGTTGAAAGAAAGATATCCGCATTATCCGGCTGAATACTGGATACTGTTTATATAAAGGTTTAGACTTTCATTTAAGATAAATAATTAGTTTAATTGGTTATAAAATGAGGGTGTTTATAATACTTTGACTTGAAAAGATACTTGGATTATAGGAAATAACTTCATTCTAAACATGGGTATTGCCAAAGCCTTGTCCACAAAGTTCAAAGGACAAATCCAGTATCTGCCAATATACTGGATAGTAAGATTATCTCACTATCTGCCGATAGAGGGAGGGGGAAATTGCCCCTGGGCCCCAACCTTAATAGGGCCCCAACTTGAGAGCCTAAAATTGAGTAGGTCCTTTAAATTGATGAGAGCATTTTTGAAATTGAGGGCCGCTTACAGTAGCTCAACATGAAGTCTAGCTAAGGTCTAGTCATGGGGCCCCCAGAGAAGATTTGCCCAGGGCCCTGCAAATTCTCTCGGCAGCCCTGAGCCTGGATATGATATCCGGTATATAGTCATTTCAAACCTTTGTCCAAGCACAGGTAAATTCACCCAGTAAGAATGTCATTTTATCTGTTCCGTACGGTGGTACATTTTCAGAGGGCAATGTAAACAGCTCTTATATAGCAATAAAGACAGGTGCTTTGAGCTGACCTGCCTGAAAAGTCTCAAGTATGTAAACATGGATGAAATTCTACTTGGTTGTTGGTACAACACTATGTACAATGAACTCTGGTATCTGGGCTACCTCGGTTCCATATAAACACACAACTTGACCAGGGCGGTAGATAGACCGATAATTGGGGGGGGGGGGTATTTGACAGTTATTCTACGAACTCGAGTTGAATATGAGCTGATAGCCGATGAGGCGCGTAGCGCCGAATCGGCTATCGCTCATTTTCGACGAGAGTGAGTAGAATAACTGTTTTATTATATACACTAGGTCTGAATTCACAGACATTTCTTTTCGGAAATTTTCAATATTTTTCTCTTTTGTTTATGTTTTTATCTTCGCTCTTTTTGGCCGATTATTTTTTCCAAAATATATATTTTTAAGCATTTTCAATTTAAAAAATTAATTTGCCAACCTGTAAACAATTTGTGGGAGCCTTTTCATTGTGGTTTTAATCCTGTAAAAGCTATAAAAAGCAAGCAACTTGCTGTTTTCTTGATCGCAAAACGTCGGAAATTCAGCTTTTTCTCCACTAGCAGGATATGAGCTAATATCCTGCTAGTAGAGAACCAATCAGATTGCAGAATTATTCATATCCAGACCTTGTGTATATAATAAATTCATATATTCGTGCTCTGCCCAGATGGGGGGGGGGGGGGG